TTTTTATTTATTACATTTATTTATTGTGTGTGTGTGTGGCCAGCTCAGCCCACCAGGGGGCGGGCTGGCTGGCATGTGGTGCTGGAGGATCGAACCGAGGTCCCTGTGCTTTGCCAAGCTTGTTTCAAGTAGGTGCTTTAGACCACTGAGCCATCTCTTCAGCCCCAGTTACAAGTCTTTACATAAACACTTGTTTTCATTTTTCTTGATACCACTTAGCCTTGTTTCTCGTAATTTTGTACTAAATCTTGAAATCAGGTAGCCTAAATACTCTTTCTTTTTAAAATTTGTTTTGGCTAGTCTTTTCACATGAGAATCAGCTTGTCAAGTCAAAAAAAAAAAAAAAATCCTGCCTTGATTTTGATTGGGATTACATAAAAAAATGTAGATTAATTACAGAAGAATTGATGTCTTAACAGTGTTAAGTCTGTTGGTCTGTGAACTCATAAGTCTCCCCATTTGTTTAGCTTATTATCTTCAGTTTCAGCAATGCCTTGAGGTTTTTAGGGTAAAGTCTTGCATATATTTAAAGTAACTTGGATTTATTTTCAAACTGTGAGAATATATATATATGTCCTTATTTTACATAGCTAACATTTATTGAGTAATAGCAAAAACTTAGATGGTGCTGACAAGAAGTCAGGCAAATTAACACATTGGTCATAGTGGTCCAGTGAGTGACTACCATTCTTTTTCTCACATCATTGAAGTGGAAATTGAGGCATAGAAGAGGTAAGTAACTTGCCTAAGGTCACATAAGAAGCGAGTGCTGTCCTCTGCATTTGAACCCAGATTGACTGACCCGAGTCACAGAATTTTTAATCCTAGTGCTGTCCTGGTGTATAACTCTATCATAAAACACATTTAATTAAGGGCTGTGAGTGTACGTGAGGACCTTTGTGTTTCCATAGGACCTTACTGTGCTTTGTCGTAAGTGGTGGCTGTGTGGATTAAATAATGACTGTGAGGATTTGCCCAGATGGGAGCAAGAGAATACGTGGTAGAAGTATATTGAGTTTGACTTGAAAATCCTTGAAAACTACTGTCACCAAGATTTCATGTTGAAACACTGGCTGTGTTGTGCAGCTGGTATCTACTTTGAATTCTTGACTGTATTCTTAAGTGCTTGAGAAAGAATTATTATTATTATTATTATTATTATTATTATTTTTGCAGGGCCGGGGATTGAACTCAGGCCCTTGTGCTTGCCAGGCAAGTGCTTATTCAACTGAGCTATCTCCCCAGCCCCAAGAAAGAATTATTTGTAGGGCTGTGTGCCCCCTATTTGTCATTGTAATTCTTGCCCATTTCAAGTGTCAACTAACTGCCTGTGTTCACTAGGAAGCCTTTTCAAGCATAGCCGGGTGTCTCATATGCCCCTCTGTGAGGCCCTTACACTACTGTAGTTGATCAGCTCGTTTGCTGTTGGGAGACACTGGCTGTGCATTCCGGTGTCTTATGCAGGTGCTGGATACACTAGAGATATGACAGCAGGCTGCAGAGAGCAGCACTTTTACTTTTAAATATTATTTTTAAAATTGATACTCTGTAATTCCTAGCACTATACAAATTAACATACAGTAAAATTGAATTTTTGTTGTATAATTCTATGCATCTTAACACTTGTAGTCTCCATCATCATCTTCCCTGTGTTATCCCATTTTCCGTGCTCTTTCCCTGACCCCTTACCTTTTGAGCTATCCTTTGCCTTTATTTTTTTCTGCGGTTTTTTTTTTTTCTCTCTTGAGTTTTGAGAGTTCCTTATGTTTTGGATATAATTTTTTATTTGATATTTTCTTTAAAAATCTTTCCTACCTTTTCATTCTTGTAACTGTGGCTTTTGCAAAGCAACAATTTTAATTTTGGTAAAGACCAGTTAATCAATTTTTTCTTTTATGGAGCATACTTTTAGAGTCATGCCTAAAAAAACTTTTTAGCTCTAGGTTGCAGATACTTTCTCTAAGTTTTTTTTTTTTTTTCTTTTTCTTTCTTTTTAATGTATTTAGTATAAGGTCTACAGAGATCAGACTCCTAGTGATCCTCTTGTTTTCAGCCTCTCTGGTGCTGGGATTTCAGGCATGCTCCACCACACTTAGTGTTCAGTTGCAGTCTCAGTGCGCCTCGGGGGGTGGTCCCTGCATCTGCCTAAGCAGGTGCCTTAATCTGCTGAACTGTGTGGCTGGCCCCTAAAGTTTTCTTCTAAGAGCCAAGCCAGCAAAAAACAAAAACAAAAACAAAAAACCCCAGGGAGATAGCTTAGCTGCATTAGTGCCTGCCTGTCAGTTGCAAGGTCCTGAGTTCAGTCCCAATTCTCCCTTAAAAAAAAAACAAAAAACTTTTTTTCTAGTAGTCTTATTCTTTTGCATTTTACATTTAGCTCTATGATCTCTTGTGAATTTACTTTCGTATAAGGAGTGAAGTTTATAAATTTGATTTTTTGCATATGGACATCCAGTTGTAACAAGACACCATTTGTTCAAGAGCCTAGCCTTTCTCCATTAAATTAGTTGTGTACCTTTGTAAAAATCAGTTGTCTGTATATATGATGTTCTGTTTCTGTATTCTTTATTTTGTTCCATACTATACTGTCTTGACAAGTGGTTTTATTCTGAGTCTGGGGATCTGTGTGTAAGGTTTTTATATGTGGGAGGACACATGTTTAATTTTTTAGCTTTGTTAGCTTTTAATTTTCAATGCAATATATATTCATACATGTTTTAATAATCGTCACTTTAAAGGAAATAGAAGAACCTATTAAATTTTAAATTCTTAATCTCTTTTATTACTGCAAAAGCCCAGTGTTAAAGCAGTGGGTATTAATTTTTAATTGTTAAGTCTTTGAAGATTTCTTGAAGAAATACTTAGTTTTGGCTTAATTTGGAGACAGTTTTAATAGAATAACTGTGAGGATAGGGAGGGTGATTAGTGTGGTATAAAGGGTATCTCTGCTTAAAACTCACATGCCAAAGCATTTGTGGATGGATTTTAAAATGTAAATAATTCTTGCTTTTACCTTGTGTATTGATATCTTGTATATTTAGGCTTTTTAAATTTTTTAAAATTTTATTTTATTTTTTTTAC